GCGCTGTAAAGCCCGCTGTATGGGAGAAATGCTTTCGTGCATCCGTTTCTGTGCACTTGCTGTGGTTTTTCTTAAAATTCGTGCGTATTTTGGGTTTTTAAAGAAAAAAAAAAACACCCCAACGTTGTCTTTAAATATAGGGTATTTGTCCCCCTAAATCATTAAAGAGATGGTGCAGGCTTATTCTCTGTACCATGGTTTGGGGTGCATAGACTACGGAAGGCTCCAAGACAAGTCAGGACTGGACTTTGGTTAGAAACTGAATTTTGTAGGATTGAAAGAAATTGCTCTTGACTTTTCATACTTTCTTTTCGAGGGATGTGATCTACTGGATAGCAACCATTCTTGAATTTTGAAAGTGAACAGAAATTTGTCTGGCTTTTGTTTTTTGAAATTGTGTTTTGTATTTTCTTCAGAGGCTTAAAGGATGGCCTCTTCAGATCTGGACCAAATATGCTCTCATATTAATGAAAAGATTGGCAATATTAAAAAGTCTCTGTCATTAAGGAACTGTGGTAAGTAGAATAGATTCCACTGACTTTGTCCATACACAGTGCATTTTGATTATTCCACTTTGAATGATATCTTATGCCAGCCTAAGTGAATGTAACTTACAAAGGTGATTTCAGGTTTCAAATGGTGATTTAAAAGCACTCTGGCTGCTGTAATTTACTAGATCACTACTATCAAAAGTAGTGAATTTGCTCAACTGTTAACATTACTACAAATCAGTAAACAAGGCCCTGAAATTGAGGTGACTAAAAGTTATTTGAAATACCAGTGTATCCAGCTAGTTATTTAACCCGCTGAAATCAGTCTCAGTAAAGACATTAATACTCTCATTTACTTACTATAGTAATTTGACTTAGTTGTAATTAACCTAGTGTCAAATGCAGTTAGCATTGCTCTATTAGATAGAATAATATAGAGATTCTCATAATGATGAGGAATAATAGTTAGTTGTGTTTTTTTTAATCTTCACTCGATATTTTTTCCATTGCTTTTCAGGGAGAGAGAGAGAAAAACATCAGTGTGTCTCCGTTGCCTCCATGGGATCAAGCCTGCAACCAAGCAAGGTAGTGCCCTTGACCAGGAATAGAATGTGAGACCCTTCCGTCTGCGGGCCAACGCTCTAACCACCGAGCCAGTCTGTCTAGGGCTAGTAGTTAGCTTTTACTGAGTTCTTTACTAGGTTCCAGACACAGTGCTAAGCCCATGTTATATGTACTTTTTCACTTATCTTTGCAAAAATCTTGAGGTAAGTATCGATGTCTCTGACTTCAGGCCTGGGCTCTAGCCATTTCACTCTACTGCCTCCATAATTTACAGATATAGTCAAATTGTGCTTTTACTTATGTTGTTTGGTTCTGAGAAGTGAAGATGGAAAGATTTGATTTTGAGAAAAAAACTGTTTTTGTTATTTCTTTCATTCCCAGAGAAGAGGAGACTGATTTTCCCATTCTCAGATCTATGAAGCTAGAGAGGTGGGGTTAGGAGTAAGAAAGCATGCTACTTTATAACCTCAGGTGTTTGCTTCTCTCTGGCGTCCCAGGCTACCACCAGCATGTGACTCTTTATATTACATTCTCCACTTAGGGATTATTAATCATGTGGATAGTGTAAATATGAATCCCAAATTTTTACTACAAATTCTGAAGCAGAACTCTCCCTAACCTCCCCCACACACCTGAAAGCCAGGCCAAAACATAGGCTTGTATCTCCCTGGCCAGTGATTAAAATTTTTAGGTTTATACGTTCACTTACAATATATCCCATGAAGAGGGATCCTGGCTTCCTTTGGGATTCTTACTTCCAACACTCTGTGCTTTGAAATGCCAAAATGTTGGCTTGATACCTATGAAAACCAAATATATTAGCTTGCTGAGACTGACAAACTCTCTCCAGCTCCCCACTGCACCCCCAGATTAGGACTGCTGCAGCAGCGGTTTCCTGGCTTATGGTTCTCTTCCTGTTGGGACCCTTGGGCATTTACCTTATTCTCAGAAAAGCTCATTTATGCATGTAGAGGGTGTTTATTTTATCTAGCATTTCTAGTTGTTTTTTTTATAGTGGAAGAATTTGCCAGAAACAAAAGACTCAGGAGACACTTTGTGCTTACCTCTCCCTTCCTTCCATACTAGTACTTAGAAATGAGGTCTAAAGGTTATCCATGGAGATAGGTCCTAGGACCTGAAACAATTAACTCTTTCTCCACCCCCAAGTGTCTCTAAAGCTCTGTTCCAGAAGTTGGGTTGGGTACATGTACATTATTGCTTTTTTATACACTTTACTTTCCATTTTATCTTTGTTTATTAATAGGTCAAGAACCTAACTTGAAGATTGTATTAAATAAAATAGGAGATGAGATCATGGTAGTAAATGAACTTCTAAATAAATTGGAATTGGAAATTGAATTTCAAGAACAAACTACCAATTCACTCAAGGTAATGTTTTTCTAACAGAGCAACAAAATAAAAAAGCAAGAAGAACAAATTTTCTAATCACCAGGAATTCATAAGGGTTTTGTAAATTTATAATATTCTTAGCTTTGTAAATTATTGTCAATGGTATAGACTGTTATTTGCATTTTACTTTCCCCGTATAAAGGACTCCAGAGCTCCACAGGTATTTCTTTTTTCATGTTCATAGCCAATGAAACTGAACTTGACTAAAAAGGAAGGTTTCCTAAATAATTCTTGGTAGGTTTAATTTAAACAAATGATATCCTGGTAGGCTGCTTTGAAAGGAATACCTGCCCTGGGAAGAGGAGATGTGATTCTTACCATGGCTGCCCTTAGCATCCTCTGCCACCCTAAGAAAGCCATTTTACCTCTTGGGATCTCTGGGTCCTCATTTGGAAAATAATGGGTCATGATGAATTAAAAAATATATATATATATATATATTTATATATATATATTTATATGTTTTTATTGATTTGAGAGAGATGAAGGGAGAGGGAGAGAGAGAAACTTTGACTGGCTGCCTTCTGCACAACCTCTACTACGGATCAAGCCCACAATCCGGGTTTGATTGCCCTGACTGGGAATCAAACTGGCAACCTTTCAGTGCACGGGAAGACACCCAACCAACTGAGCCACACCGGCCAGGGCATGAACTATTTCTTAAGTCCCTTCTAGTCTGCATTTCTCAATTTCTAAAAAATTGTAAAGTGTAATTGTAAAGTGTAATATAAGGATTCTTAAATAAAGAGAAACTTTATTCACATGCATGTCTTGTTCTAAATGAGCCTTCTAATTGACTTCAGCTAAAAAAGTGTTTGTGTACTTCCTGATGGTAAAGTACTCCATCTGTACCATAATTGCCTCTTGCTCTTAGGGCCATTGACATGTTCAGTGGGACTGAACAAGGTGGCCTCTAAGATCCCTTTCAACCTCATAATCCTTAAGGTCTGTAAAGATTTTTCAGTTATAGGAATGGACTTGATTTTGCCTATCCTACTATTAGTTGAAATGAAATTAGTATCTGTGAACATCATTCAACATTTTAAAAGAAAGGTGTCATATAAATTTAAAACAGAAACCAATATTGCTTTCAATTCTAACCTGCCAAAGAATGCCCAGGGTTAGGTGTGGGCCCAGAGAATGTTCAACTCAGAACTGAAGGCTATTTGGAATTTTTGCTTACATTATGATTGAGATTCAGAAGTTAGGGATCCAAAGGTGCAGAGTATTTTTCCTATTAAATTTGCATGAGTTCATTGCCTCAAGTTCTGGTGACAGTTAAATAAAAACAACTGAAAACAAAAACAAGCCGTTATGATCAAGTAGAAATTTTCATTAAGCTGGAAGATACGCATGTCAGCAGCCTCTCATACTTGCATTCCAGGCAGGCAGTGCTACTGTGGTGCTGTTGTGCAGGTGTCACCGGGGAACGTTTGTTAGGTCAACAAAAGCAATTTACCGGAATGGCAAACATAAATCTTTTGTATATTTTCTATTTGGTTGCTTCCCAAGGTTAAAAAGTATGTTAGAAGGACTTAAAGGTCATCCTGCCTGTTGTAATGTGATTATAACAATTGTTCTTTGAAAAAATCTGTAGAGAGAACTATATCTCCATTTAAAAGCAGCTCTAGAAACCAAAGGGCTCATTGTTGTTGTTTTTAGTAACAGTTTATTGCCCTCGCCGGTTTGGCTCAGTGGTTGGTGCGTCGGCCTGCTGACTGAAGGGTCCCAGGTTTGATTCCGGCCAAAGGCACGTACCTCGGTTGCAGATTTGATCCCTGGCCCCAGTCAGGGCACCTACGGGAGGCAACCAGTTGATTTCATATCAGTTTCTCTCTTTCCTCCTCCCTCTCTGAAAAGCAATGGAGCAATCCTTGGATGAAGATTAAAAAAAATTATTTAGAATACTGTTTATTGATTTTTAGAGAGAGGGAGGGAGGGAGAGACAGAGACAGACATCGATGTGAGAGGGAAACACTGCTTGCCTGCCTCCTTCACACCCGCTACTGGGGATCAAGCCCACAACCCAGGCATGTGCCCTTAACCCAGAATTGAACTGTGGACCTCCTGGTACATAGGACAATGCCCAACCAACTGAGCCACACTGGTCAGGGCAGCTCTTTTTTAAAAATATTGCTGCATTCAATGCTTTTCCACCCCTTCTGCCTTCTGAACACGCACAATAATTGTGATTGTGTATCACAGTCTTCCATGCTCTTTATAACATCTTAATACACACACAGGCGGGGCAGATGCTTATTTGTGAGTATTTTTTAAATTTTAGGAACTCTGTAAATCTCTTGAAGAAGATTATAAAGATGTGGAACATCTCAAAGAGAACATCCCTCCCCATTTGCCTCAAGTAACAGTAACCCAGAACTCGTAAGTGTATTTATAATTATTATTGCCATCTGCATTTATAAAACTATTCTAACAAACACCTCAAGTCTTTTTGCTTTTTTATGTGCTTGCAGTTCTGTTAAGCGATTGTCTAATTTTGTTTGTCACTTACACCACAAATAACATTCACCCTGTCTTGACCAGTTTTCTTATCCTGCTCTCTCTGAGGAAAATGTCGCCCCTCTTTCCCAGGGGTGAGTCTTCCCTAGGATCTTTTTTTCCACCTTTTCTCATTTCTTTCCTTTAGAGTAGAGTTTGTCATTTTAGGCCAGGCGATTCTTTGTTGTGAGAATAGGGTGTTTAGTTGCATCCCCTCTACCAACTAGATGTCAGCACCTCAAATCCCCTTCACACCTCCATCCCCACCCAGTGGTGACCATGAAAAGTGTCTCCAGACATTGCCATATGTACTGTAGGGGGCAGAATCTCCCCTGACCCTTGAGAACCACTGCCTTAGGGTAAAAATAACCATAATGAGCTTCCCATTTTAAAAACAGCCAAAGGAACAAAAAAAACCCCCCAAAACCTCAGCTCTGCTTCCCCCTCAAACTACTGCCTCCTGTTTACTGCCGATATATGTTTGTACCTCCTCTCCCCAGAGCATCTAGAACCTGGCTTCTGGTTGTTATTACTACCACCCTTATGAAACTGATTGTTGAAGATTGTAAAGAGGTCAGGATCCCTCTTCACCCTGCATTGTCAGGTTTTATTTTGTTGTCCATTTTCTAGTTTTTGAAATTCTGTTACCTGCGCCACTACTGTGGTTTCTTAGTTGTCATCTCACATCTCTGACTTAGCTGCCTCCTTTCTCTCAGACCTCATTTAAATTACAAGTACCCCCTAAAGTTCTGTTTTACTCACCCTAACCTAACACCACCGTTAATGCCCTCAGAGGTCCAGCTTCAGCCTTGACATGACATCTACTTCTGCCGTTTCCATTGCTTGCTGGCAGTCTGATGAATGAGCTGTTCTCTCCAGCTTCCCACGCCTAAGGCTGAACTCGCTGCTTCCTTGTTGTCCACCCATCTTTGCTTATCACTATTATCCTCCTGTCACCTGGTCGGGAAATTGGCATCTTCAACCCAAATGGCCCTCTCATTGCCCTCAGCCGTCCGTTCTGCCTCGGTGGGGTTTTGTCGGCGGTGCCCTACCTTCTAGTTTTATCACCTGTTTCTGAAAGATCTTCCATCATCTTTTGTCTTTATGATTTGGGAGCTCCTGTGATTTGTCTTTCCAGTATTTCTCTACTCTCATCTCTCAGTCCTTTGCTACCAAAATGATATTTCTAAAAGGGGTTCTGAGGCCTGACTGATGTGGCTCAGTGGTTGAGCATCAACCTATGAACCAGGAGGTCCCTGGTTCGATTCCTGGTCAGGGCACATGCCCAGGTTTTGGGCTCGATCCCCAGCAGAGGCAGCTGATCAGTGACTCTTGTCATTGATGTTTCTGTCTCTCTCTCCCTCCCCCTTCCTCTCTCTGAAATCAATAAAAACTTATTTTAAAAAAAGAGGGGGGTGCTTTGAGTATGTGAAAACATTCCATGGCTAATTTTATTTTTTTAACTTTTAAAATATATATACGGAAAAGTGATCAAAGTATTATTTGTGCAAATTAAAGTATAATAATAAATGTCAGTGTATCTACCAGACAGATTAAGAAATAGGACATTACCTTAGTTTAAGCACTTTTGTTGCAGACCCTCCCTCTTTCAAACGTAATCATCCTGGCATTTATGGTAATCACACTTTTGCATGTGTTTCCATAAATAAAATACTGCTTAAATTTTAAAAACTGAGAGGAAGGCACAAACCTTGCTATGTAAGAAAAGAGCCTTCTTACTGCTGATAGTAGAGAGCCTCCAGAAGGAAAAAGCTCAGCAGAGTCCCTGGCATGTTAGGGTACCTTGTAATTTCCCTATAAGAAGAGAATATTAGTGGGCAAAGTCATGAATGAATGCTAGAAACAGGTCATCATAGCATGTCTGCCAAGGTTATAGTGTGGGCTTGACATTACACATGTGGCAGGAATGTGGCCTGAGGAATAGGAGGAATTTTCTTCTTCTAAACTCTCTATGGCCTGGCTTTAGCTTTCAGGGCTAGGCCAAAGCTGAACCTTTCTGTAGGGTGAAGTGATTATTTTCAGGAGACACACAGTAGGGCATGAAGGAGAAATCAGGAGTGTCCTTAGCACATGGTCTAGACAAGCAAGTAGGAATCAGGCTCACCATGGAGTCTCGTGTTAGGATTCATTCAAGGATGTTGGTCCCATAGCATTGGGCATCTTCATCTTGACATGGCCATCTCCTGAGTCAGGCCCAGTTGCCCTCAGCTGTCCTCTGGGGATCTTGCCTCCCTGTCTTCTTTGGGGTTCCCTTCACTTGCTCCTTGGTTAGATCCCATTTCTTTTTTGGAACAGTCAAGTCAGTATGGTTTGACTTGCTGCTGGCAACAGGGGTCTGTTTCTTCCCTGGCAGTTAACCTAGAAGCTAGTCTATTTCTAGACTTCTCTGCTAGTGGGGTAGGATAAATTAGGTTTCTCATTGACTCCAAAAATTGGGCAGGACTGAGTCCACAAGTGACCCATGTTTGCTGCTGGCAGCTCAAATGACTAACAGGGAGGGAGTGATGCTAGCAACCAATGGGATAAATTAGGAAAATAGAAGTATAGGACAATTGACTACATATAGTAACTTTGAGGAGCCAGTGGGATAACTGACAAAGATGTTTAGCATATGTACTACATAGACTGTTTTGGGATGTATAAATACAATTATATTACTGAAGTTTAGGGGACTTAATTTTTCAGTGTTCTCACTAGTCAGATCTTCATGAACAATAGGGGAAGAGATAGAAAAAAATATTGGCTATAAAATTATAACAAGAAAAATCAAGTGTTTGATACTGATTATTTTCAGTTGGGAAAACTTTCTAATATGCGGCACAATTCTATATGTCTGTGCCTCTCTTTTCTGTAGTGTTAATGTATCAGATCTTGACCCTGAAGAACCTGTCAAAGTTGAGGAACCTGGAGCCACAAAGAAGCCCCCTAAAGAGCAAAGACATATTAAAGAAATGCCATTTATAACTTCTGAGGAGTTTAATGGCATTCCTGCGTAAGTATCTAAGATAAATTTTAACGGTCAATTCTTTAATAGTCAACATACATGATTGGTTAAATCATAAAGCTTGATTATATTCATCATAATATGCTGTGTTCAAATGCTGATCTTTTCTAAAACAGCTTTACATTGTACTGTGAAAATGCAGGAAATATTTTGTTGAAAATGCTTAAAATCATGTTTTTTATTCAAAAGTAAAATCTCTTTTCATAGAGAGATCTAGAGAGAGATCTAGAGAGAGATCAAGAGAGAGATCAGCTTATTGCAGAGTCCTCTCCAGGACCATTTTGTGATATAGATTTGTCCAGTTACATTTTAGAAGTATCCTCAGTTTTGCTGTAATTTTAAAGCAAAAGTGTTGTATAGATTTGAGATTAGAATGGAGAGTGTTGTGTTTTTTCCCATTTGTCCCTTAACTTATGCCACATACTTGCTTGAGTCTGTGCTCTATTCCAGGCCTGGGTCACTGAGGAGAATTCAGGGGTGAATAACACAGGATGCCCTCTAAAGGCAGGCTCCCTTTGTGCTTTACAGAAAGTAACTCCTCTGTAATTCTACCACTCAGATAAAATAGAGTATTTCCTTATAGATTTTATCTCATTTCATATATATAATTGGTTGTTTCTGATTATTACAGAAAAACAACTGGTATAGACAATTCTCAGGAAAGTAACATAATCATGCCTCTTTTCCCAGATATTTTCCTCCTAGGCGTCTATCTCAAGGAAATGAGGAATTACAAAATAGACTTGCTTAAAAGAAATTTCGCTGTACCATTATTTCTAAGAGTGAGGTTGCTAGATCTATGGTAGGAGTATGTTTAGCTTTATAAGAAACTGCCAAACTGTCTTCCAGAGTGGCTATGCCATTGTATATTCCCACCAGCAATGAATGAGTTCCCATTGCTTCATATCCTAATCTGCATTTAATTTTGTCAGCTTTTTCTATTTTAGCAATTCTAATATGTGTGTAGTGTTATCAGATGGTTTTAATTTTCAGTTTCCTAATGACATGCGATGTTGAACATCTTTTTATGTGCCTATTGGCCACTTGAAAAATACTGGCTGTTTGATAATTCTGGGATGAGTAAGGAGGCTGATGTTCCTTTAACCTTTGTGGGGATGTCACTCAGTCTTTTCCTCTACTGACAATTTTATTTTCATGAAAATTCTGTTTGATGCTCTTCAGTTTTTAAAATTGTTGTTACTGTTGCTCATTGGCTGAACTACAGGGAAGAGCAAATGTCTAAGGAACTGTGGAGTAGAAGGGTCTTTAGAAAGTGCTTTCATGAAGAGATCAAACAAGGAAATTAAATAGTTATGGGAGAGCATTAATTTTTAAACGAAGGGGTTATTTGGTGAATAAGGGAAATTAGAAGATTACTGTGTAACAAACATTTTTCAAAGAAAATATTTTGTATAATGAGTCTTTAAAAACATTAATCATGTACTTATTTACAGGTACATGAAATCCCGCTTAACCTATTGTCAAATTAATGATGTTATCAAAGAAATCAACAAGGCAGTAGTTAGTAAATATAAGATCCTTCATCAACCAAAAAAGTCTACTCTGAATTCTGTGGCCAGAAATCTCTATCACAGATTCATTGATGAAGAAACAAAGGATACCAAAGGTAAAATGATAGCATATACATATATGTGTACATGTTAGCTGTGTGGAGTGTGTAAATAAATCATAAGAAACAAAAGTAATCCTAGAAAATTCTAAATTTAGAGAGGCATTTCTCCACCAGGGGCAATTTTCCCACCTCGGGACATTTGGCCATCTCCGGAGACATTTTTGGGTGTTACAACTGGGGTTGGGTTGGCATCTAGTGGGTAGAGACCAGGGATGCTGCTAAAGTACCCTGCAATGCACAAGACCGCTCCCACAAAACAAGAATTATCTAACCCCAAATGTCTGTAGTTCTGAGGCTGGGAAAATACTACTTTAGAGTTTATTATGGAACTATAACCAGTGTTTCCAGAATTAGAATAGTAGCGATAACAGTTGTTCATGCTTATATAGCACTTTCTGTGTGCCATATGGTGTATGAGAGAGCTTTAGTCTTCATAACATCCTTAGGTGCAGACTATCACTAACCCCATTTTGCAGACTAGGCAAAGAGAGCTTAAGTTACTTGTCCAAGTTCAGCCAGTTAAGTGATAGAGCTATGAGGATCTTATTCTCTTCTCCACTATCCTATATTATCTCTTGAAAAGTGAATTGTTCAGAAGATATTAACAGGCAGCTAGTGATATAATAAGCAAGGCTACATTACTGAAATGCTATAGTAAACGTTATGCAAGTTCAGTTGAAAGAATAATTATTTTAGCAAGAATACCATTTCTCACTTTGGTTGTACAATCATAGTAAAAATGATTAATGCCATTCATAGTCACAGTGTAATGCATTGAAGACTCACCTTGAAAGTTGTCTTTATGAAAATTAGCACTGATATCTTTATTTTCAGGTCATTATTTTGTAGTGGAAGCTGACATAAAGGAATTCACAGCTTTGAAACTTGACAAGAGGTTTCATGTTATATTGAATATCTTACGACACTGCCGGAGGCTGTCAGAGGTTCGAGGGGGAGGACTTACCCGATATGTTATAACCTGAGGCCCTTGTGAGCTTTTGAACCAGCCAACAGTAGGGTATAGAGGCTATTCCTATAGTTTCCTTAAATGTAATTTTTAAATATATAATTTAGTTTTTTTATCATCTATCTTGTTTCTTGTAAAAATAGAACTTCTTAAAATAAAGCATATAGCCCTGTTCAGTGTGGCTCGTTTGGTTGTAGCGTCGTCCTGTGCACCAAAGGTTCCATGGTTCGATTCCCAGTCAGAGCACATGCCCAGATTTTGGCCTTGATCCCGGGTCGGGGTACATTTGGGAGGCAGCTGATTGAGGTTTCTTTCTCACATCAATGTTTCTCTCTCTCTGTCCCCCTCTCCCTACCTCTCTAAAAAAATTAATAAAAACATATATTTTTAAAAAGCATATATATTTTAAAATAAACTTCCTTTCAATAAATATTTAACCACCTACCCTGTGAGCCTCTGTGCTAAGCATATAATGGAACTAAAAATGTAAAAAATGTTCAGGTCTATTTTTTGTGTTTAGCAACAATGTTGCAGATAGGTACAGATGTGATAATGGAAGAAAATGGTCAAGGAGATTGGTCAAGGATACTCAGGTTCTTTGGAATTGAAGGCCATTAATGTCTAAATTCCATTAATGGCATTTCAGTCTATAGGCAAAAGTTGGATTTGGAGACAGCCTGTCCATGTGATTATTCTGCTTTCCCCTATGTCACTGGGAAACAGCTTACCTAAAGTGCATTCAGCATAAACCAGTTTGTAGACATCAACATGTAATAAAAGTACTGAGATGAAAAAGATGATAAAACAACATGTGTAAGCAGATTGATAGTGGTCATGAAAAATGGGTGGTTGGTTGTAAAAATTTAGCTGTGTTTTTCTTGCGCACTTGGGTGACTTTTGTCTATGTTTTAGTCAGTGTTCCCCAGAGAAACAGAACTAACAGGAAAACTGGTGGTGTAATTCACTCTGAGTCTGAAGGCCTGAGAATCAGGGGAGCCAGGCCAGAGATGAGATGAGGTGTAGCTCAAACGTTGAGGCAGGGAAAAAAGCAAATTTCTCCTTCCTCTACCTTTTGTTCTACTCTGGTCCTAGATGGGTGTTGGATGAGGCCCCTCTATACTGGGGAGGGCAATCAGTTTACTGAGTCTGCTGATTCAAATACTAATCTCATCTGGAAACACCCTCAGGGACACATCCAGCAATAATGTTTAACCTGGGCACGCTGTGGCCCGTCAGGTTGACAGGTAAAGTTAACCATCACCTATGTCTGTGTATCTGCTGGGCAGGTTGATCCTCGTAGCAGAGAAAGAAGTGCCTCACCAAGCATGTGAGCTATGCTTAACTGCATACTAAAAACTGCAACTCTAGTCCTTAGTTGCAACTCAGAAATCAAATTATTTCTTGGGAATACTCTTGAACTTTAAGAAATAATTCAGCAACATGGTGTATGAAAAAGAAAACTTAAGCATCAGAAACCTGTGTCCTAGACTTACCTCTGTCATTTACTCCCTCTTGGTTCTTCAAAAATTTAACCCTTTCTCGCAAGCTCCATATCCACCGCCCTGCTCCCAAACTATCCTCTCTCCCCTGGATTAATTCATAGGTTCTTAAGTGGTCTCTTTGTTCTTGCCCTACTGTCTATTCTCCACATGAACCAAAGTTACGGTAGGTCACTCTGCTAATCAAAAACCTTCCACAGCTCCCCATTTCTTACACAGCAAAAGCTGAGTCCTTACAAAGGCCTGCAAGGACCTTCATGAGTCCCTTCTCAACTCAGTGATATTATCTCGTACACCATTTCCCACCTCTACTTCAGCCACTCCAGCCTCCATGCTGCTTTGAAACAGGCCAGGTATGAGTCTGCGTCAGACCTTAGTGCTGGTGATTGTCTCTGCCCAGAGAGAGCTCCTCATTGTTACCCATGTGACCCTCCCCTTGCCTCCTGTATAGCTGCTCAAATGTCATTTGATCATAGATGCCTTCTCCGACCACTGGATGTTTAAAATTACCATTCCCTTCTGCAGCACATCCCCTTTTCTGCTTCATTTTCCTTCACAGGACATTTGTCTACCTGATGATTTATGTATTTTACCTATTTATTTGTCTTTCTCCCCCCACTAGAACATAAACTCCCAAGGTTAGGAGTTTTTCTTCCCGCTTTCATTCACTGGTGTGTCCTTGGCCTAGCTAACAGGGCTTTCCAGTAGAGGGCACTAAGTATTTATTAAATGCACATTAACTGAAACAATTTTTGCCCTTGAGTGACTTCACCTTTTCATGCCTGGTTTTCCTCCTGTATATATTGAGATGGTTAAACAAAAATTCCTCTCAGGACCTTCTAGTTTTAATATTCTGTGCTTCTAATATTCCCAGTTAATTCCAGGAAACATGTTGAAATGAAAGAATATTTTATCTTGCTGGATTATAAAAAAAATATAAAAAAAATGATAATTATGTGGAAATCTCATCTTTTAAGCAAAGAATCTGTAAAGTATTAAGTTTTAAGAAATACTAAAATTTGTTACTAGTTAAGTAATAAAATGAAGCTTTCATGGACTAAACCATTTATAAAAAAATTTTTTCAGCCAATATCTTTAGTCTTCTAATTTATTTTGCTTATTAGATACAGTTTTAAGTTTCACAATTTATAAGTGTTATACCTAATCAAATGAATTACTGTGGTGCATTGAATAGAACTTTGTGTGATAGCTTGCAGTTTTGTTTCATATTAAGTGATTATGAAACATCCCATCTCCTAGTAAGCCATTACCATTGTTCCATATCTACTAATATATAAAGAGGATTATGCAATATATTAAAGAATCTTCCTGGATATATTTCAAACAATGTTATTCAAATTGGAGCCAAGACTACATATGATTAGAAAGAAATAATTTAATATCAATTGAACTCTGTTAAAGTTAGGCTGACTCAAGATACTCTCTTATGGAGCACACACACAAAAATGAGAAATTATGGTGTAATATGCAAATTTTACCTCAAATTATGATCACTCTTTTGCCCTGGTTTATTGAAAAGCAGTAAATGATGCCCGGCTGGCATGGCTAAGTGGTTGAGCATTGATCTGTGATCCAGGAGATCATGGTTTGATTCCCAGTCAGGGCACATGCCCAGGTTGCGGGCTCAATCCCCAGTGAGGGGTGCGTAGGAGGCAGCCAATCAATGACTCTCATCATTGATGTTTCTATCTCTCTCTCCCTCTCCGAAATCAATAAAAATACATTTAAAAAAGAGAAAAGCAGTAATGAGTGTGTAAGAGGGTACGTCATCTTTTAAATATTGAGGTTAAATTTACATGCAGCAAAATGCACAGATCTTAAGGATACAAATCAATGTGTACACCCATGTGACCCACGCCCCTATCATTTTTTGATTTTTTTCTTAAACTTTCAATTTTGAAATAATTATAGGTCCACCTGCAGTTATAAGAAATAGTGCAGAGAGAGCCCTTGTATACTTTACTCTTTGCCTCAATGTCACAACCAGGATACAGTCAAGATACAAAGCATTTCCATCACAGCAAAGATCCCTCATCTCGCTCTTTTATAGTCACACCCACTTCCCTCCCACCCCCACCCCTCCTCAGTCCCTGACAGCCAGCCACTCATGTGTCCTCCATTTCTATAATGTTATCATTTTGAGAATGTTTTATAAATGGAATGATACAGTATGTGATCTTTCGAGATGGGCATTTTTCACTCAGCATAATTCTCGGAGATTCATCCAGGTTGTTGCACACATCAGCAGTTGGTCTCTTTTTATTGTCGAGCAGTATTCTGTGGTGTGGGTGGGACGGCTGTACAATCAGTACATTAATCATTCCACCTGCTGAAGTACTTCCGTGTCCTTTTCAGTTTGTGGCTGTCATAAGTTAAACAATGGAATACAGGTTTTTGTGTGGATATAAATCTTCATTTATTTGGGAATGCAATTCCCAGGAGTGCAATGGCTGGATCCTATGGTAGTTGCATGTTTAGTTGTTTGCTTTAAATGGCCAAATTCCTTCCCAGAGTGGCTGTACCATTTTACATTTCCCTCTGAGCACTGCTTTCACTGCATCCCACACATTTTGATAGGTTGTATTTCCATTTTTCTTCCTTAAAAACATTTTAGCCCTAGCCGTTTTGGCTCAGTGGTTAAAGCTTCAGCTCCTGGACTGAAGGGTCCGGGGTTTGATTTGGGTCAAGAGCACGTACCTTGGTTGCAGGATGGATTCCTGGGCCCTGGTCAGGGCAAGTACAGGAGGCAACCAATCAATGTGCCTCCCTCACATCGATGTTTCTCTCTCTCCCACTCTCTCTCTCTCTTTTCCCCACATCCATTTTCTGAAAAGCAATGGAAAAAATATCCTAGGGTGAAGATTTAAAAAAAAAAATTAAAAATTTCTCTTGAAACTCCTATTTTGTTTAACCTCCAAATATTTTGGGATTTTCCAGCTATCTTTCTATTATTAATTTTTAGTTTAAGTTCATGTTGTTGGAGAGCGTACTTTGTATGACTTTTATTTCACATTTGCTAAGGTGTGATTTATAAACTAGGAGGTGGTCTATCTTGGTGAATATTCTATGTGAGCTTGCAAAGGATGTATTCTGCTGTTTTTGGATGAAGTATTCTACAAGTATCAATTAAATCCAGGTGACTGATGTGCTGTTCAGCTCAATGATGTCCTTGCTGATTTTCTGCCTGCTGCATCTGTCCATTACTGATAAAGAGGTTGAGGTATCCAACTATAATAGCCTCTTTGCCTATGTCTGCTCGCAGTTCCATCAGTTTTTGCCTCACGCATTTTGATGCTCTGTTGTCAGGTGCATACTCGTTAAGGATTGTTATGTCTTCTTGGAGAACTGACCTTTTAATCATTAACACCCTTCATTATCCCTGACATTTTTCCTTGTTCTGAAGTTGGCTTTGTCTGAAATATAGCTACCCCAGATTTGTTTTGGTTGGTATTAGCAAGGTACATCTTTCTCCATCCTTTACTTTTAATATCTGTGTCTTTATATTTAAAATGGTTTTCTTGTAGACATGATATAGCTGGGTCTTTTTTTTTTTTTTTTAATCCACTCTGTTAGTCTTTTAATTGGTGTCCATATTTAGATAATTCATAATTGAAGTGTTTATTGATGTCTTTGGATTAATATCTGCCATAGTTGTT